GGTATGTGTGATGAGTAGTTAGGGTTTATGGTTATAATTGTGTTTTTTGGGGGGGGGAGGGGGGGTGAGGGGAGCGAGGGGAGTTGGAGTGGGAGAGACCGGATGGAGGTGTCCATTGAGAAGGGGGGAAAGACGTGGTGGGGACACGGGCCGATTGCACGGGCCGGGCGGAGAGCGGAATCGTGAGACTCGAGTATGAGCGGACACGGTGCCGTCTCCTGAGTGAGTGAGTGTAATTTAATCAGCAACTATCTTTAGCTTGGAAGCCCTAGGGCTCTCCTCAAGCATCGACCTCTCCGAATAGATAGGACTATTAGACCTCACGCGGTCGTGCAGGGGACAGCGCGGACGGAGCAGAGTAAGTGCACGCTTCCCAACGGAGACCTCGAGTGGAAAAGCACTACTGCCGCACACCAAAACGCAAAAGCAGTGTTACAGCGAAGAACATATAAACTTCTTGTGCTCGAGCGCGACGCGCCCTCAGTCGTCAGTCTTGAGCTTGCTTCTCGTCCTTGCCAACCCAACAGTGCGAGCAATAGCACTCTCGGCGGCCGGAAAGCACGGCCATGCATTTGCTACTTGCCGTCGTGTGCCGTAGTGTATTCATAGAGTGTTAAACCGCTTCAACGACGTCCGTACGTCTAATTTCGACACGGTCGCTGGATATCAAGGGCGGTGCCAGGAAGCAGTCGCGCATTCGATTCGCGCGTTGCACCTTGACAACAATGAGTAAGCGGTCAACGAATCGTCCTGAGTGTGGTCTACATCATCTCGAGGCGAGGCTGCGCTACCAGCAAAGCGTGTAATTACCATAGCGTTCTTACCTTGCTGCAAATGCAACTCTCGAGTGCGGGGCGGTGGCAGCCGGTCGGTGGAATACATGAACTGCGTTGACTGGGAAGCTGTGCCCAGCTCGGTTGGAACGATGCTGGCTGAGGCGTACGTCGTCTAGAGGGGGGGCCAGGCGCACACTGTGACAAGAGGTGATCCAACTTCCCACATGTTTGCGAGAGAAACAGAATGGAAGTGCGTCAGGATGTCAGTAGGGTGGAGGCGGCTAAGCAAGTGGGGGGGAGGAGGGGTAGGGCCGCGGGTGGGCGTTTTCCCAGTAGATTTAGCGCGAAGAGACAGGCTTAAGGTTTACCCTTTTCTCGTGTCGCTCGCATCCCCCTTCTGCCCCCCTTTCCGGCTGCATCACTGTGACAGTTTAAAAAGAGATTGGGTTGCGTGAGGCCGAACGGTTGGGCCGTCTGTGTTTATGGAGAGGATGGGAAGAAGCAGAGGATTGGATAGAGGCAGGTTGTTTGAGAGATACGAAAAAACATATGGAGGCGAGTTTTTGCTCTCCTCAGGCAAGATATCGCGTAGTGAGCGGGACTAGATACGTGCGTGGCCCCTATGTATGTGGGGCATGGGCAGAAGGGAACACACTGGCAAGGCCAAACGAGAAGCTCGAGACGGTGAGAGGTGGTGGGGCCAGCGCGGGAGGCAAGCATCGCGCGTAGCGAGAGCGAAGGGGATTTCAGGAGACTCAGAGACGCGTCGAGGAGAGCGGGGGACCCGGCTGATACCATGGTCATGCCAGCAAGGTTTAGAATTTTCGACGCACAGGCGACTGTTATGAAAGTCACCATCGCGCTGCCCCAGGTCGACAAGGCGTCCAACATCTCGAGGTGGCAGGGATGCACCTCTGCCCATTTTCCGTTGGCGAAATTATTCCTTCTTTGCCGTCTGCAGGGCTTGGAGCTCCGCCTTACGCGCGACACGGATGGCAGTATGCAGGAAGGCGTGGACTCCGAGTAGGACGCCAAGCACAGCGGCGGGGATCGCTTCTTTGGTGAAGCGGGAGTCATCCATAAGGTAATGCGTAGCGAGTGCACCCCCCATCAGGGGCGCCAGTGCATACGCGGCTGTCGGGGTGAAGAGAAGCAAGACTCCCAATGTGAGCTCCGTACCTCCAATGGCATTGCGGAGGACGTCGGGACGGACGCCCAATGCGGACAGACGCAATGCTTCCAACCACTGCGGGGATTTGTCGAGCATTTCCTGGTGTGCTGGATGCAAGGGCAGGAGCTTAGCGAGCGCGGCCATGACAAAGACGAAGCTGAGAAAGTAGGACAGGACCGCGGCCGGGACTGTTAGGATGGACGATGGCATTTTGCGGGGAAAGGGGTGCCTGCGGGAGGACGCGGAGACGCGGCACGGTAGAGGATATGCGAGGAGAGCGCGAGCGCGGGCACGAACAAGAGCTAGAGGTGGAGTGTCAGGCGAGAACGGGGGAGGCGGCAAGTGGGGGAGAGCGGGGGTTCGGGAGCGCAAGAAAGGGTTTTCGAGAAGGAGGGCACGTAACGACGCGCTGGTGGCTACAGTAGAATTTTGGGGTTCGACTTGTCCTTATTGGTATTGGAGGGTGGATGGATCTATGGACGCATGAGATAATTCTGTTTTGAAGGGTTTGGACATGTCACAAACTTTGTTGATTGGTGCAATGAAGCCCGTCCCGAATTATGGCGCGACATCATTGGCCAATGAAGTCTTCATCAAAACAAACAACTCCTCGGCCCTTTGGCCTTCTTGAGTAACACGCAATTGTCTTTGACTGGACGCAGAATTCCAGCGCTTCAGGTCTAGAGCGCTTGACCTCAACTGCTGACCGCTGCGCATCTCCAAAGGGCTGACGACAGTGTGGTTACATCCAGACGACATGACAGTACGGCATACCACAGTAATAAGACATACCCAATAGGGCATACCGTAGTCGCGACGCAATAAAGTCTCCGACGGCCACTCAATTTTCACCTTGAAACTTCATCCCAAACGTGCAACACCCGCTCCCTCGGGGATCGGGGGGTATCGGAGTTCACGGAACCACAGGTTATGGGCACCACGAACCACTGAGCACGATCCGTCCCACCTAACCCCGCACACAGAAGACGTTAAACATAGCGCACGCAGCGCAACAAGACGAACCGATCTGCACAATCGCACAAGACCATCCAACGACCTCCTCCGATTCGTCACACCAACAAACAACGAGCAGATCACCAGCCAAGACATCTCGAAATGAGCCAGAGAATCAGCATGTCCTAGGGATGCCTCCCACTACTCACCCTCTCCAATTTCTCTTACTGGTATGATGCACTACAACTCCACGCAAGAACGATCGACGCACAAGACCATCTCAACCAAACGATAATCCAAGCGACCGATCCAGCCCAAAGGAAGGCGCAACAAAACAAGCAAGATCATCTCACGAAGGCCATCATGCAAAGCCTCAGTGAGAGCGTAGTGAGACTGCTACCACAACAAGTTCTAAGATATGACTCGCAAAGAATCCGCAGTATACTGAAAGATGTCGTTGACACCAGCTCCAACGAGAACCACGAACTCTTGGACGCCGAGGCCCGCAACCTCCAGTACTAATCAGGACAAGGGCTCAAAGAATATGTCAACGGACACAGAGACATACTTTACAGAATGCAGGTCTCTGGATATCCAAACATCGACAGTGAACGCACCACGGTCCAATACATGGTACAAGGGCTGGCGCAACACGCGGACATGCACACACTAGCCATAATGATGGCATGCACACCCCCAGACACCATGCGTGAGTTCACGAATCACACCCCACAAGCTCAACTGATCCAAGCGCAAGCACACACACACCAGGCTCAGCCATCTGCTGCACCACACACAAAATGGGATAAATACCCAGAGAACCGCAGACTGCAAAGCACCACCAAACCGAGAACCACACAGAGACACTACGACTGACCACAAGGCCACAAAGGCACCTGGGGCCACATCCCCGGCAGTGTCACGCACAGCACTGACAAGTGCTTCGCACGGAGACAGTACCCCACACCACGCAAAGCACACGCGAACAGAGCCACAGCGTCCAACAACGGCAACCACGAGCAAAGCGCAGAAAACAGCGAAGTGAATGAGCTCTGCGAACGCCTCCAAATATTGGAAGACGTAATTGCAGGGCAACAGGACACGTTCGAAGGTAAGGACACATTCATATTAGATTCCGGTGCACAACCGACGCATACCGCTACACCCCACGCGAGCATGCATCCCAGCACCGATATACTGACACAGAATGCTACTGGACAACGCCTACGCATCACACACTCTGGCAACATTGTAATACAGACGAAGAATAACAAGATCCGTCTACCAGCTGTCCACACACCGGAAATCCAACAAAATCTCCTCTCCGTACACGACCTGACTGCACACGGTCATGTCACATTCACAAGAACACACGCACGACTGCATGCACCCATCAAGATACCAACATACTAACGGCACCCTACTCGAAAGTACAATATAGATTCACACATGAGTCACAGCCAACCGCCAAAGGCGCACGTACGTACCCAAGTAAGAAAAGAACGATAAAAACAAAGACAACTTCCCAAAAAACAAAAAACAAACAACGGGCACCCACAAAAAGTCATAAACACAGCATTCCGTACTCGGTACCAACCAAAAGCAAACCCACTCTGCGCACCACAACAGCACCCCAAAACTCAGAAGCTAAACGGAACGCCACACAACAACTCATGCACGAGTGGCACCTCAAATTGGGCCATGCCCACACGAAAACCATATCCATAATGTCCAAGAACGGCCTCTTGCCATCCGTACCGAAAGGGCTAACAGACAACAACGCACAGATAACCTGCAGTGGCTGTATTGACGGCAAAACGACGGCCAGACCCCACAGGAGAACCAAGCACCACGCCGCAAGAGGATACAGCCTCTCATCGGACGTATGTGGACCCATAAAGCCGCCATCCACACACAACGCTAATTATTTCATAACAATAGTTGACACGGCAACACGGTACCTATGGGTATTCTGTCTCAACAACAGAACACATGTCCTGACGATCATCATCAACGCCATTGAGCACATCGCCGCCCAGAACGAGCGATACCCGCGACTCTTGGTAACCGACAAAGCAAAAGAGTACCTAGCCAAATCAGGACAAGAAGAGCTCAAAAAGAGAGGAATTCACTTTCGCCCGACTACCCCGTACAATCCTCAGGAGAATGCGCTGGCAGAAAGGATAAAACGCACGCTGATGGAGAAAGTGAGAGCGCGACTGTCGCACAGCCAACTCCCAGATGCATATTGGCTGGACGCACTCTACAACGCGGTATTTAAATACAACTTAACATACTATCACGGACTGAAAAGCCTCCCGCATACGGCATGGCACGGCACCGCACCGCAAATGCGGAAAATGTTCACATTTGGACAAGTAGGCTACACGCCGATTCACAAGCCCAACGCCCCGAAGCTGCAACACAAGGCCATCCCAATAAGATACATGTACGGAATAGACAACACACACATCTGTGTGCAACACATTGTCACACGCAAATACACAAAAATGCGTGCAAACAACTTCCGTCCGTACCACCAACACAGGAACCCCTGCACGACCACGACAACAGCCTTCGGAACTCGAACAGAGCCCCGACGAAGCCACTCGCAAATGACACAAAACGCAAAGAAGAAAACCCCGCACAACCGCAAACGCACCAAGCGCACAGTGCCAACAAAAATCGACATAACAACCACACCGCCGAAGACACTGAAACAAGCGCGACCGTACCCCGACGCGCACAACTGGAGCACAGCGCACGACGCCGAATTGGAGCAAATAGACGACATGAAGGCGATAGAGTGGGCATCACAGAAACCCCGAAACGCAAGCACAGCCATCATCCCGACCACCATCACTTACCGATACAAACATGGACACGGGAAAGGGACCACAACGAGGAAAGGGCGATGCTCGATACGAGGAGACCGCATGAAACCCCACGAGCACTACGATCTCGAAAACACGGCCACGTACATGGCAGACCGCACCACGATCAGAACGCTATTCGCCATAGCAGCCTCCATGAATATGGACATCGAGCATTTCGACATCACTGGTGCATATTTGCATGAGAAATACCAACACGAAAACCGAGTATACGTGTGGCAGCCTCAACGCTTCGATGGCACGTACAAACACAGAAGCACACATGGCGAGCTGAAGGGCAGCTTATACGGGACTCCAGCGGCAGCCAATATATACAGTACAGAGCTACACCATCACCTCAAACGCCATGGTTACAAACAAATGAGATCAGACACCTCACTGTTCACAAAAAACAAAAAGGGCACACCATACTCGTAGGTATTAGCATGGACGACTTCCTCCCAATCGCTACCAGCCCAGCCCTCATCAATGACCTATACACAATCCTCCAAAAAAGTACAAGGTCAAGAGAATAGGGCGGCCAAGCAAGTACCTCAACTGGACAATAAGGTACAGCAAGGAAGGAATACACCTATCCCAACCAGAGCACATCGACAACGTTGTGGATGTGGTATAAACCCGTGCCACTGTAGTAACCTTTTCGCGCTACTCGTGTACACGTGTATCTAGATAACTCAAGTACCCCGACGTACAGTACCAAGCCCATTTACACCAGCCTTGCTCGCTTTCGACACGCGCACACGTGGACCTACTACCGCGCTTGTACAAGTGTGTATTATGACGCGACCTCGTGAGCTCTAGCCGTTACATCTCGACCGCGATCTAGTACAGTATATAGTGTCGTTGGCGCTTGCGCCGGGTGGGTTTGGGGACAAGCAACCAAGGACCAAGGACGCGACTCTTGTTCTTGGATTTGCGCAGTACTAACTAACTTCTTCTCTTTCACGCTCTCTCGTTCTCCTCGCTCGCGCCCTAGGACTCTCGTGGCCACGTCGCGTGTTGCCTCCCCGCTCGCGCGCACGGTTCGCTGGCCGTGTGTTAGCCCCGCTGGGTCGAGAGCACCGCGTCGTTCGCTTCTAGTCTCCGTGGTTCGCGAGCACACCCGGGTTCTACAGTCTCCCGAAAGCCTCTACCACTTCCCCCTAGCTACCTAGTACACGACCACACGAACGACCCTTGTTTTAGCACGTGACCACGTTTCGCGTTCTACTACACTGGTCTCCCGACCTAGAAGTGTACTTCCCTTTGCCTTTTCACGATTTCCTTCTTCTCCTTCCGTGGCACTCTTCCCCTTCA